CGTTTACTTCTTTATGGTTACCACAAGAGGGCTTAGTTGTGGACTAAAGGTATAATCAGTCATCAGGGGTATGTCCATTTGCCTCGGGATCCTTGCGGAGAAGGAGGTCAATCAGTCACTATCATGACCTTCATATGCTTTCCGAGAGCGCACTTACTTTATCGTTAGGACTCCTGAATTAAGTTCGCCAGGCTGAAGCCCCACCCACCGTATTATAGTCCCGCTTACGTCTATGGACACTCCGACAAAAGCCTATTGAGGAAACTGTGGCTGTTGACCGAATAAGCTCTTTCTCGATTGCCCATAGGTACCTTGGAATCACCCCTAACGAAAACAATATCCCACGAGTGCGTGGCGCCACATAGGACGGATTCTGCATTTCCTTTGGATTTCTGTTCCACCCATAGGAAATAGTTTGCAATGTGTCCAGAAGGTCGATGAGGTCATCGCGGAAACGTTTCCTATTCAAGGAAAATTTGTTTCAATGAGAAGGCGTTACAGAATTGTGCGTCATCCACATAACTAACATAATTTGCAGACCGCACCGAACATAAACAGTCCAAATTTAGACCAGAACGCCTTCGCAATATCGAACTCAGCATTTTTGAAGAGCTTTTAGCTCTCCATCCATGAGGAGGGAAAACAGAAGTCCGACTATATGGGAACCAAGGATTCCAGAAGAGCCAAGCGGGCCGACGTGGAGCTAAGTTCCACAGTCCATTTCCCCATGAGAAAACGGGTCATACCTGGATTTCAACTCGTTTTCCATTCGGTTCGAGATCATGCGGCCGTAGAAGACTGTCGTCTGGTCGAAGCATCGTCGGAGTGCCTCCATTGCTTAAGGACACTTCACCATTGCAGAGATTTGACGAGCTCGAGAACTAAAAATGCTTTATATTGATTGTTCTGATCAATCCTTGGGTGAACGGTGATTGCTGGAAAGTAGTGGCAGAGTCCGGGCCTTGTCAGTTTTCTCGGCGCTACCGTATTTGACGGGGAAACCACTCCACAGCGCCTCTGCGTCTTGAGAAGTAAAGAGCTGATTAGACTCATAAGCGATCAAAATAAGTAAATTTTCGAGGCTAAAGCCTAGAACGCAGATGGTCAGAGTAGTCGTGGGACACTTTCGCAGAGCCTTGACCGTTTGCGCTCAAAGCCTAACTTGGCTGGAGAGGATAGGCAGAGGCGCTGCACAGTAGTCCACCCCCCCCTCCCAAACACGTTAGTGCTCCTTTCTGCACGCCTACACTCTCCAATGCGGGAATAGGTAGTGAGTGAACACCACCTCGATGAGAGGGCGCAGACGGGCAGAAAGAGTGATACCTAGTCCTTGTTCCCACCCCCCCCCCCTATGTCCACCTTCATTTCCTTCCTTAGCTATCCCTAATACTAGTCGATCAGAATATTTAAAATACATAAAGAGTGAAACAGTACAAAAGGAGAATAACTAGTAAGTACTAGTAAACAGGAAAAATGATTGGTTCAAAGTATTTCTGTAAAACGACTACGTACGGCTCAGCTCAAACGACACATGTAACTAAAAAGAGATGGTCATGAGTGGAAATAAATCATACTAAAATAAAAGAATAAATAAAATGTATAATATTTAAATGGATTGAAAAGATGTGAATTAGCTTGAATGAAGAATACATAAGAAAAAGGTGTACAACAGAAATTCGTCAAAAACCGGAGGGAGCTGTTCAGAAGGTATCGGTGAAACAACTCTTCCTTTAGCTTACCTGAGCTGCCTGTGGAAATGGTGGAGCACTTTTCGGAGGTGGTGGTGGTAAGGCGATTGCCGGTGTTCGTAAACTTGGCGACATCGATGGCGATGAATCCGAGGAGCAGATATCGTCGTCCAATTCCAACCAGAGGTCATTCGTCCTGAAGTGGGAAGAAGCATTCGATAAAGCAATGCTCAACATTTGAAAAAAAATCAAAGGTTACCCGTTCAGCTCTCCATTACCCATCACCCATGGCCTCCGTCTCCCAACTTCCCCATTTTTCCTCATACCCCGATTGCGCCAGATTGCGGTGTCAAGAGATGTGAAACTGGCTCTTCCGCAGCTGTGTTTTCCACCAATAGTGGCCCGTTCAGGTATAAAAAACAACCACACAGTGTAAAGGACACAAACCCCGCAGCCGACACTCATTCGCCAGGACCCTCATTCCACGTCTTCTCGTCCCTCAAAGATTGCCGATATCAATCGAAGTTTGTTTTTTTTAGTGTTTTACTCTATGGACTTAATCTTTAGACACATCTCTAATTGAACAGTCTGGGCACTTCTTCATAATCCCTCGAAGTCGGGCTCGGGAGGGACATTTCGCGTTTTCGGCTAGCTCCTTACTTGTACTGTGCAATTACCGTTACACTTTGTGAGAACCTGTGACTGATACAAGTGCTAAAAAAAAGTATCTCGTTGCATAGGCCTTTACAGGATTAACACACCAGCAGAATGGCATCGGCATTGATGCGATAGAACATTAAACCTCCCCGCCCCAAGCTCGAAACGTGCGCCAATATTTTGTTTCAATTATAACTTGAGCTGCTTAAAAGGCCATTATTGTAATGCAAACTAAAAATATGTCATACGCTAGTTAAAAAGATGTCAACTGAAGGGGGATGGTAGTATCTGTCATCCAACCATATGCGGCGACCCCTGATTGTCTTTTAAATTAGCCAAATGTCAGTAAATGTATAATATCATACCACTAATGAGGACAAAAATCCATTATACCTCTCAGTATCTAAGGAAGATCAGTTGGATTTCAAGTATTGTGAGCATCAGAATGGTAGTGGGATAAAAAGGGTTTGGTACACAATTCCTCTGTGTGCTCCTGCAATTTCAGCTGGAATGAGAATATCGACGATGTCATCGCCGCCCGACGCCGCTACGATTTCATAGAGGCCCGCCACCGAGTAACACATCAGCGTGTTTTTCAAGGGTTTCCATGAATATCGGAGCGACTACCTGTCTGGGAGGCATTTTGACTTCTATCGTAGGTTCCTCCGTAAATGCTGGTGAAATACTTGTCGACTGTAACGGATTAGCAATTGTGTTAACGACGCGAAGCATTTGTATTTCGAATGTTAGTCCAATACCGGTAGACCCCATATTTAGAGTGCAAACTGTCTTTCTCACGTTTTTAGCGGGACCACCTACCGCTGTCCTACCTTGGCAAGGATAGTACCATAAACCACCGAGGAAGATTAAGAACAGGAGCTCACATAGTTGGGTAAGAAACACTTGGTAGATCGTGTCCAGCTTCTCTCTTCATAAAACCTCGGCATTACTTTTAAGTTGTAATTTGTTCTGCCAAAGAGGTTGGTAGGTGGAAGACTTTATTGAAAATGGCCTGACGTTTCGACAGGATCGTCGTCCTCAGAGGCCAGTCCACCACCACATGAGCGGAACGATGCCACTCGCTGTTAGTTGTTAGTTAATAAGTCTTACTAACACTCCTAACAACTGGCCTCTGAAGACGACGATCCCTGTCAAAACGTCAGGCCATTTTCAATAAAGTCTTCCAACTACCAACCTCTTTGGCAGAACAAATTACAACTTGGTAGATCCTCTCTGTCCCTTCTCCTTACGCCCCCTGCTTACGGTCGTTGTTAGTGGAAACCATCTTTTCCTCGCGAAGCTACGGGACTACCCGAGCTCCAAAGCCCAACCCACGGTCAATGTGAGGGACTCAGAGGCGCGGCCGAGTGATTCCCTCAGCTACCTTATTATCAGAAAGCATTTATAGTTCGCGACTCTTTCGCGCTATACGGATTCCGTGGTTAAGATTAAATGGGTATCAGTCTTGCAGTTTGTGAGATGTGCGATAGTGCGATTTTGCTGTTCTCGTCAGAGACGCGTTCGTCACCATTTCTGCTTGATCATTTCATTCCATTTGAATTATTCAACGCGCTTGTTTTCCTTGTTTGTTTTGTTTCCCTCTTTACTGTTTTTGGCTTGTTGAGCCTTTTGAATATGTCCCGGCTCCGATCTAAGAAAGCTGCCGGTTTCGAAAATGACATGGATGAACGGGGCAAACGCGCTCCACCGCTAATCGCGAAATCGCTTAGTCGCAGATGTCATTAAGCATGAACTTCGCCCACTAACAAAATTCAATTAATTCGATGAATCAATGTCTGTTCAAATACCGAATATCGGAAATCGAAAAGGGAAACAAAACAAACAAATGTCCAAATGTTGAAGAATAAGACTTTTGTTCACATTTAAATATGCTGAAGTAATAATATATATAAATAACGCAGAAATACAGTAATGAAAC